ATAGAGATCATCTACAGCAGCGTCTACACTGAGAAAGTGTGCTCAGGCACCAGAGTTAATTTCAGCACATGCCCTTTAGATTTGCAGGGAATTCCTATTGTGCTACTTACTAGCTGCGTGACCTCCAGCAAGTTGCTTAACCACTCTGAGCTTAACTCATCATCTATTTTAAGAATGAAACTAGGGCCTACCTCATAGGGTTGTAGTGAGAAAGAAATGATATATTGGGAAAGCACAAAGAAAGTGTTCCATAGTAAGTCCACTATTGTTATTATAAAACACCAGTGGTTCTGCACCTTTCCAGGGTCAGAGGTCCCATTAAGAACCTAAAAACTGATCAAACAAAATCTTGAGATCCTCTAGGAAAATGCATAGTCACGTTACATGTTATCAATAATTTCAGGCTGTCTGCAAAGCCTCTCAGATTCACAGAGCCCAAATTAAGAAGCTTCAGGTAACAATAAACTCTTGCTTCTATAGCTGAGAAAACTGAGGCCCAAGACAGCCATGTATCTCCAGCATCAAAACTAGAACCAGGTATCTTGGCTTCCAATCCAGGCCTCTTTCAACCAAGACAAGCTGCTTATATTTACAAGCTAAAACTGTACTTCAAGCACTCGGCCCTGGATATAATAAACATATTTCTGTACACTGTTTCCTTTATAAACCCTGTTATGACAACAATGTGTTTTGTTAAAGTGTCAAGAGGGGAAGTAAAGAAAAAGCAGAGGAACAGCAAACACACACCCCTGAGCCATTATAATCCAGTTTATAGAAAAATAAAAAGTACACTTTACTTCTCATTTACAAATACTCGGAGAGGTTAGTACATGCTAATCTTATGGTTCCAACTAAGAACTGTATTTAGGAAATAACAAAACTTAATCCCAGACTTTGGACCTCAATCTTGATTGATGTGGGCAAAGGGCATCCATAGATGAAACCGTAAGATGAAAGGCTTACGGGGACTTTGCAGAGGAAGCAGCCAACTCTACATGAACCCACAACACAAGCGCAGCATCCCCAGGAGTGGGTCAACCAGCCTTCCTGATGTGAGGAGGCACGAGACTCGTCTATAAAGTATTCCTGAGGGAAAACAAGCCGGAATGTGATCTAGCCTTTTAGCACTTACTTCCATTTCACAGAATATATGTACGAGGGGACAGAGGAACAAGCTTAATGAAACCCCAATGAAGCAGACATATTACGTGGAGGGGTCTATTTGACAAGGAAGGGGCAGGGGTCTGCCGTGGATGGAAACAGGCTGAAGAAACAAAGCCATATGCAATGTGTAAACAATGTTTGGATCCTTATTCAAACAAACATTTTGTAAGCCAGCCAGGATATCTGAACACAGATCTGCCTTTAGGTGATACCAAAGAACTGTTCACTTTATCAGAGGTAACACTGGCATTGTGGTTATGGAAACCGTTCTTACGCACACTAAAATGTTGGGATAAAATGACATGAGGGCTAGGATTTGCTTCAAAATACTTAAGCAACAGCAAAAAAGAAAAGAAAAGAAAAAATGAACGAAGTAAGAGAGGCAAGCCCGTGTTAACTACTAGATCTGGTGTGGGCAGTGATGGTGGTTATACAGAGTCACTGTAGTACTGTGTGCAGTCACTACCACAGTGACTGATTCTCTCTACTGTATATGCTTGAAATTTTCCATGACTGGAATAAAAACAAAAACAAAACAAACAAACAAAAAAACCGCTATCTTTCAAAGTCCTATTAGAGATAAAACAGGAAGAAAAAAAAAAAAAAAAACCTCTATTCTCACCTAACTTACCCATTCATGAGAATATGTCCTTGACGAAATCTCAGCACTGGAAAGAACCCAAAAGGGGATCTAGTTCAGGGATTCCCAAATCTGGCTGTAAGTCAGAAATACCTATGAAGCTTATCAGAATTTCAGTTTTCCCCAGCCCACCTCAAACCCACTGAATCAGAGTCTCCAGGAAGGGGCCGAGAAGTGGCGGTTGTGTGTAAGTGCCGCAGGTGATTCTGGTGCCACCCAGGTTGCTCCCTCTCCAGCACCCCAGCCAAGCAGCTGTGCAGCAGGGGACTGTCCCAAGCCCCCAGAGACAAGGATCACACCACATTCTGCATTCTCATGCTTATGCCACGTTTAAAACCGTGTCCCACACTTTTAAAAAGAAAACAAAAAGCGGAATGGCTAACTCTGCAAACACAGCTCGCAAGGCTTCCATCCTCCCCTTCCCCTGGCATCTTTCTCACCAACATTTGGGCACATTTAGTCACTGTGTTGCAGCAGAACCTCAGCACGGGAGCTACAGCCAAGTAAAATCCTCTGGGAAAACATGAGCTTACCTGAGAGCCCGAGGAGCTTCCCCTGGGCAGAGTGTGAGGGAAATGCCTTTGCCTTACTCAGCTGGCCACCGGAGAAAACCACAAATTAAGGGGTCGAGACCAGTGCCTGAGGGTACCCGGGAGTCTGCCCCTCTCAGGGCAGAGAGCAGCTGGCCCCAGGGTTATCCGAGGAAAGAGGAGTAAAATGGGGAGTTCACACACCTTGCTTTGTTCTCACAGCATCACAAACCCCGGGAACAAACTCCCAGCCACAAAAGTGACTGGCATCTGATCAGAAGCATGTTAACACAGGTCGGTACGCCCAGGAAGCCAGAACTCAACATTTCACAAGATAAACAAACTCAAGCCCTTAAAACCATTCCCTTTCTACAGGCGCTATCTGCAGAATGACAACCATCACCCCAGGAAAACACAACTCCCAGAGCGGGGCAGGGGGGTGCAAGGGAGTGATGGCGCTCCTGCCAGGGTGCCATCCAACGCCCGCCTGTCACTCCCCAGGCTGATGAACAATACTCCCGAGTCTCTCTGCATACTTTGGAGCTGGTCTTGTTTAACATTTCAGAGTGTGCATTTGCTAAATTACTATTATGTGCCCCGGCGTGATGACAAACACGCCGACCCAGGCATGTGGTAACTTGCAGAATCATTTCACACCAACTTAAAGCCTTGATCATTGCTTCATCAGGGACGTGCTGCTCTGGCGGACCTGACAGCCCTTTCTTCTCTACCTTCTAACCCTGGAATTGCTTCCCAAGATTTTCCCTTTCTTGAGGACCCACCCATATGGAAGTTTTTAAGACCACAGACTTGGTTCTTTACAGAGGAGCGACGAATTTTCTCTAAGTTCAAGGAATGATCTTAAAACACTCAGCAGAGCCAAGTCCGGAGGTCGGTCTTAGGATGCCCATGCTCAGATGCGGAGGGGAGGAGAGCAAGTGATGGACACCTGGGGACAACAGCAGTGCCCCGCGATTGTTACAGTTACATAAAAATAAGTACGTAACTGGGAAGGCAGGGCCCAGAGCACTCAGGAGTGTTCACACTTGCACGCTGGATCCAGGCACCACCTGCACCCACGATCAGCGGCAAAGCTCCGCAGTCTCAACATCTTTCCTCTTCCTGGGCAACACCCCCCTCAAACCCCGCATGCCCACACTCCATCTTTTTTTTCTTTTTTTGCGGTACGTGGGCCTCTCACCGCTGCGGCCTCTCCCGCTGCGGAGCACAGGCTCCGGACGCGCAGGCCCAGCGGCCATGGCTCACGGGCCCAGCCGCTCCGCGGCATGTGGGATCTTCCCGGACCGGGGCACAAACCCGCGTCCCCTGCGTCGGCAGGCGGACTCTCAACCACTGCGCCACCAGGGAAGCCCCCACGCTCCATCTTAACATAAACTCTGGGTGAACAGCACCTGCAGACAAACGTGTCCAGTGGCAGCAAGGAAAAATAGGGCTTCACCACTGCCACAGTCGTAGTCTTCCAGGCCAAGGACAAGTAGAATCTTCTCAGGCTCCAGATTCAACTGGAAGCACATACCTGTTCCTGGAAAGAAAGAAATGAAAGGCCCCAACCCTGCCCAGCTGCTGGCCCACTCCAGAGGGGGCCTGAGACCGAACCTGAACTTTAAAAAGGATGGAAAGCAGACCGCCAGCTCCACACCACAGCACCACTAACACGGAAACCAAAACCGTGAGAATAGGGCAACACGAAAACTTTGTGGAGAGTACGTTTTCTGGCAAGTTATTTTAACTGTGGCTACGTTACTTTTCAGAACCCCAAGCTAGGTCACAATTTTGATTTCCAGCTCTAACAGTCAATCCTATTTCTACCGTACCTATTGTGTTCCTTACAAGAAAAATAAAGCAAATTATTAAAACTGTCTTCCTTTAGTGAACCACGAAGCTGGAGCTTTAAAGGCTTGAAAGTCAAAATTCCACCTTCTGAAAGTCAGTCTTACCCTCAGCCCACCTTCCATACTCAGAGGGAGTTTCAAAGTTGCCAAACACTTTGTAGACACCCGATTTCAAGAGAGTCACCTGGGCAATTCGTGTCTTTGGTCTTGGAGTATAGAAGGATGCTCAAATCACCCCCCCGCAATGTCCACCACTGTCCATTTATTCCAGAATCCTGGACCAGCTGCCTTTCTCCAAATTAATATTCAGAACGAAAATAGATGCCATTTTTTTCTAGCCCTCAGTGGCAACTTTCCTCAAATACACACACACACACACACACACACAGACACACACACACAGACACACACACACACACACAGACATCTATATATATGTATGTATGTATACACACACACCTCATGGTTCATGGCTGCTATCAGAATACAGACCTTTGTTTGGTGTCCAAAACCAAAGGGGGACCCACCCACCGACTCTGAAGGACAATGATACTCAGAACCAATCAAGTCTGTAAACCACCGTTTTGTAACCATGTTCCCCAGTGGGAAACCCTCAATCTGGCTTTAGAAACTCCAAACACAGGAAAAGGAAGTTCTTGACAATTATCTAAATGAATGAAATGAGATAGAATTACCCGTGTTTATAATTGCTACTTCCCTGTGGTGAATTTACATTCCTGAACATTTTTTATTAATGGAGAAACAGGTTTAATTTCAAAAAGAAAAACGTGAGTTCCAGACCCAGAGGCTTACCTGACTCCTCTCTTTGTCCACTTTCTTAAAACACTTATTCAAGGACAAATTATGTCTCACTGAGTTTTTCCACCCAGTAGGTGCGTTTGCAAAATACGGAAAATGTTCCAAGATCCAGTTGTAGATATCCTTTACCGGCAGGCGCTTGGTTGGAGAGTCCTCGATGGCCATAAATATGAGGCAGCTGAAGGAGTAGGGGGGCTTGCAGTTGGGGTTCTGCCTGGCATCGTAGGGCATGTCGGAGTGGGCAGGGGATGGGGGCGTGTCATCGTCCAGGTCCTGGACGGGGCTGACGCTCCGCAGGACAGAGTCCCCGAAGCTCTTCAGCAGGTTCTTGCTCTCGTGCAGCCAGTTCAGGTTGGTCAGCTCTTCATCTTCCATGGCCCCCTCTTCTAATCGGATGTCAGGCAGAGAAAAGTCGAGGTCATCGTCTTCCTGAAGGGCCTTGGAGAAACCGCTGTCCCGGTAACACTGACTCAGCCCACTGGAGACACTAATTCCTGAGCTTTCTGGCTTCTTACTGGGAGGCATGACTGGACCCATTTACGTGAAGGCTCCTGGGAAACACACGACAGAGAGAAGACGAGGCGGTGAAACCCAAAACAGAGAGGCAGCCATGCCCTCCCTAATGATTATGCCCCCCTCCCACCCCTGCCACCTCTGTGGACCCCCTACCACTTAGGGACATCCCCTCACAGCTCCCACACTGAGTGACATTAACCGACATTCCACCACACAGAGATGCCCGATTAACAGTAGTAAATTCGGTCTACCACGCACATAGCACAATGACCTGCTACCCCTTAGGTACAAGACAGGAAATGTTCACAGCACCTTTAATGTGCACATGCCAAGAAAAGAATGGGAGGGGGAGGGGTGGATTGGGAGTTTGGGATTAGCAGATGCAAACTATGATATATAGAATGGATACGCCTACTGTATAGCACAGGGAACTATATTCAATATCCTATGATAAACCGCAATGAAAAAGAATACAAAAAAGAATATATATATGTATAAAATCACTTTGCTGTACACCAGAAACTAACACAACATTGTAAATCAACTATACTTCAATTAAAAAAAAAAAAAGGGAAATCCCACAATACCTTCTTCCTGATCTATGAAGACTCTCACTGTGACCCTGGAAAAATCAGTTATTGCCTGCTGCCTCAGTTTACCTATTATACATGAATATGTATACATTCTTTCGAGCTGCACAATAAACACCACAAAATAAGTGCAACCACAGCCCATGTCACTTTGGGTGACAGGTCTCACTGTTTATCTTTCTCAAAAAAAAAAAGGACATACCTATAAGTTTAAGGCCAGTTGGTTCAGATTAAGTTCAGCTCTTTCCATACAAAGACCGCTGCAACTGCCTAGGAATCAAAACTATGGCTATGATGAGCATCAATTTGGTAATGTTTTATTTGATTTTTTTTTCCTTCTTTCTCCACAAGACATAACCTAAAACTGAAACTTTAACATTTGGCAAGTCTAAAGAGCGATGCCAAGGAATTCTGTGGATTCAAACTGGAGGAGGAAGTACATTTAATTTCTTTGGGACACTACAATCTGAACAAAAAAGTGAGTAACGTCAGACACCACACAAATACATGGGAATGTGAAGATAAGCCATTAACTGAAGTTAAAATCGGTGAAAAAATTCAGGAGAGCAACCACGAGCTTCAATACAGGAAGGCAAATCCAACAAAAACTGCTACAGAATTCTACTCTACCCCTCCCCCATTGTTATCAATGACCTAGAACAGGGAGTAAAATATCTGATGAGGAAAGACAATGGGGGAGGTGACAAGTCCACAAAAAGAATGACCCCGACAGATACAAGGCACATTCAACCCTGAAGCACTCAATGTGAGATGGAAAGAACAGTAAGATAATGAAAGAGGTCTCCCACTCTCCGTCTACAGTGCTCAGACAATGCGCTTGGTGTCTGTTTTATCCTCCACCCCACCCCTGAGTAAGAAGATCAAGCAGTCTATCTAGAAAAAAGAATGAACACATCAAGAGCAAAGACATGATCATTCTAAGGCTCAAAATGCCCACTGATAACATGCCCAAAATAACTGCCACTTCAGCTAGGGAAGCTCTAGAATGAGATTCTAGAAAGCATAATGTGGGGCACTAAACAGCTAGTCAAAGGTGCCTGAGAATGGTAGCAGGCCCCCTCCCCAGAAGTGGACAAACAGAACCTACAGACCAAAGGCCTGAGGGGGAGCTCTCTGGAGCTGCTGGTAGATGTCCAACGCTAAGGACAGAAAACATCCACAGAGACCAAAGTCCCATGGAAGCAGGGCAGTTCAGATACCTACCTCGGGTTCATCCACAGGGAATATTTTTTCATCAAAAAAGGAGGCTAACCTGAGTAGTACAGGACACATTTTAAAGAATAATCTAGTATCTTAAATTAGGGGGTAAGACAGAGACCAGCCTGATTCTTTTACCTTCTTTACGAACAAATCAAAATTAGGCTTGTCTCTCTCAAAGTTTCAACGTACCCCCATCAAAAAACCTAATTTTCTGATAACCAGGAATATCCACATGGTCGAGTACAAAAGAGAACAACGACCCAGCCACTGAAGTCAACTTTAGCTCCAGAGGAAAGTTTTATGTCTCCTGAGCTTCCAAACAGGAAAATTATATCATGGCTGACAGTAAAGTAATTTAATTGCACTGTTGCTATGACAACATGCTGCTCTCTTTCTTTTTAATTTGCTTATTTGTCAGTAGCTTCCCAAAGGAACCAACACGCTATTCTCCACGTTTTCTTTTGTTTTAAACAAACATTGCCAGCTATATGGTTTTATTAGAAAAACGGCACTGTCAAGAAAAGAGGGTTACCGGGGCCCAGCACCCTTGGATCATTTGTCTGCTTTGTGTTTCTGTGCCCCCCGTGTTCTCCAACTGTTAACTACATCCCTATAAATCCCGCATTTTATAGCAACGGTATCAAGAGCTGCTGATCACTACAGTTCCATTTTAAAAAACAGTTCCCAGAAACCACAGCTGAGGAGTTTTCCATTATTATACTCTAACTACATAATTCACCAAATCTTTCTTTCCTCCTATTTTAGAGGGGGGAAAAAAAAAGAATCCGGATCATGTGAGTCTGCAGTTAAGCAAACATTTTTAATCTGCTGCCAATAAGGTTGCTCCACCGGATCCGCAAATAGTTATTCACTAGTGACCTCCTTAACAATTTTTCGGTTTGCTATTGGTTACGTCCCCCACACGCACACCCTCTTCTTGTTTTTTTATGACTCGCTGTGTTTTCTTATCTTTTTTTCCTTTTTAACGGAGAAAACGCAGCAGGAAAGCTAGTTTCTTGCCCACTACCAGAGGGCTCCAAATAACTGACAAAGACATTACTGGCCCAGCTCTGAACAGATGCTCAATGTGAACTTTAAAAAGTTGAGAAATCCTCTCCAAGCCGAGCAGGGCAGTTGCGAGTTTGGTGGGGGGGGGAGGGCAACCCCCCCACCCTCTGCGCGCGCGCACGCACGCACGCGCTCCACTCCAGTCTACTGTACTTGTCAAAAACATTTCAAGGGGACCTGCGGGAGCGGCGATTGGCTGCGTCCCGCGTCAATCAGCGGCGTTGCCAGGCAACGGGGAAACTGCTCTTCTGCCCTATACAGGGCAATTGGGAGCTCGCATACCTTCACTGCCGGTCAGATGTCATAAACCTTTTATTGGCCGCACCGCGGCGAGCCTTAAAAACACATCAATAAAAGCCCGCCGTCCCCCAACTTCTCCAGGACCCAAGGAGGGTTTCAAAGAGGGCCGGGGTGAGGAGGAGTCAAGCCTCGAGAGTCTCCGGAGACTCTCTCTGCCGGTGCCAAGCCTGCACAGTTTGGGGAGGGGGGGGGAATCTTTGTTAGGAGGCTGTCTGTCGTCTTGGGGTCTCCCCTTGATCGGCACCCCCTGCCCCGGCCCGGAACGGCGGGGATCCAGTCCTTCGCGGACAATACTAACTCTGTTCCTTTAGGGCGGCTTTTCGGAAATCGAGGCACCGGGAAACAGCCCGCACGTCGGGGCAGGAAACTCTTCGGACTGGGCAACTTCCCCGCTCGGGGGCTCCCGTCTCCCCGCCCGGCCAGGCCCCCCAATCCCGGGCCCTCTCCCCCAGGAACTGCGGAGTCCCCGGTCAGCCGAGAGCGGCGAGGTCGCCTCCTGGACGGCCTCGAACAACTGCCCCCGCCCCGAGTCACCCAAATCCCATTCGGGCGCTGGCGGGAGCGGGGAGCAAACTCACCTGGCCGGAGCGGGTCGCGGGGACGCGGGGGCGCCGCTGCCCTTCAGCGGGAGCCGACAAACTTTCGCAGGCGCCCAGCGGGCATAGCTTGGTGGCCCGGCTAAGGACGCGCGGACGCGGCGCGGCGAGCCCGGGGCGGCGGGCGGCAGGGGCGCGGGGGTCGCGGCGCGGCATGGGACCTGCGGCGTCCGCCGGGCGCGCCGCGCGTCCTCCCGCCGGCCCCGCCGCTCTCCCCGCCCCGTCCCGCCTCCCGCTCGCCTCCGCCGCGGCGCGTCGGGCCGGGGCGCGCCGAGCGGCGAGAAATTGTTTCCACTGCAAACAAAAAAAGGCGACACATGACCAGGCAGGAGGAGGGGAAGCGCGGGGAGGGAGGGGAGCGGAGGGGAGGGACGGAGCGGAGGGGGCGGAGGGAGCGGGAGAGAGGGAAAACGTGGGCCGGGCCGCCAGCGGCCTGGGGCGCGGGGCGCGGACCCGCCGGGGCGGCCCTTGCCGGAGCTCCCCACGCCACGATCGGCCCTGCTACCCGCGCCCGGGCGCTCCCGAGGCGCAGCCGGAGCCGAAACCCGGCTGGGCCGCGCGGACTCGCTTCCCGCGGCCTCGCGGAGCGGGGGTGGCCGGCGCGGGCTCTGCGACCCCGGGCAGCCGCGACCGTGATCGGCGGGTCTGGTGGGGCGGGCGGCGCGCGGCCTGTCCCTTCCCCGGGCTCTGGCCACGCGGGCCGGCGGGCACCGCGCCTCTGGCAACGTGTCCCCGGAACGCTCCTACCCATCCGCATGCCTTACATGGCTCGAAAGTAAAAATAAAAAGAATTACGATGCGGGCGAGGCTTGCGAGGGGGAGAAGAGATTCCACTTCTCCCCAACTACGGCGTCCTGGCGGGACTCCCGGGGGCCATCCCCAGCCCTCCTCCAGCTGCCACCTCGTGCCCCGGGAGGAAAGGCACAAAGGCACCGCAGCCTCCCGCCCAGGTGGCTGCTCCTCTCGTCTGTCCGCAGGCGCGTGTCTGCCGGGGGAGGGAGGGTGGCCATTACAGATTACAGAGCAAGAGGCCCGTCCTGAAGGCCAAACCGTGGGGCCTCCAGTGGGTTGTGCTCAACGCCCCAGCCGACCTCTAAGCCTCCAGCGAAAACAAGCCTCATGTCTTTCATATTTAGAGCTTCCACGAACCCCACCGACAACTCGCAGGGCCACCACTCCAAGTCTCTAGGCGCCTCCAAAGATGGGCCACCCGCTGCTGAAGCCACACCAAGAGAGGATGAAAGGAGAGTCCAACAGGAC